ACTACAATTCTACTTTGTCTCTATCACTTTTACTACTCTAGATACCTCACCTAAGTGAAATAATACAATATATGTGCTTTTGTGACTGGCTTATTTCACTTAGCATAGGGTCTTCAAGGTTCATCCATGTTATAGAGTTTGTCGGAATTTCCGTCCTTTTTAAGGTCAAATGATTGTGTTGACTTAAAGATGCTGCAGTCTCAGTTGATGGCCTCATGGTTTGAGTCTTGCTATAAAACTTCATGCTTAACAAGGCTTTGAAAACCAACTTATTTCATTAGTACATAAGTAGCTGAAAGTGTTGCTGCATATTTATTGTAGCTGGTGAAAAAAACATAGATGTTTTAAATAAAAATTATCTTCACAGAATGGTATCTTAAGTTGGAAACTATATGTTGGCATCCTTGCAAAGAGATAGTATTATTTGATTAACACTTGTGATTGTAGAATCACTCATACTCTATGATTTCTGGCATCTGAGTGACAAGGCACATAAATAGGCCTCACAGGGAGGTCTGCAGATAATTTCACACCCCAAGGTTACTCACTGAAATAACCAGATCAAAAACCAAGCAGCTGAATTCTCATCAAATTCCTCCCACCCTCTCTTACTAATCATCTTGCTAAAAAGTTTTTAAACTTGCATCATAAACTATCAGATTTATGTGTTGATTAGTTTATTCAGTGGACATATTTATTTGCTAGAATTCTCTAAGTTAGCTGTAATCAATAAAGAAATATTATGAGGTATAAAAGAAAGCACAGCATTTGTTCAGGAGAAATGAGGCTCTTCTGGCCATGTAAACCTTAAAAATGATTACTTCAATCATATTTTGTAACTGTGGGTGTTGTGATACACGTTCAGTTATTCTGGAAGACTTTATAACGTTTCCTTAGAATCTGGACTTGTTGACAGTATTCTACAGTGTTATCAAGAGATGGAATAAGCACAGTAAGCCACTCGTAACTTTTTAAAATTTATAAGTATTAATTTTTAAGCTGGGTCTTCAACTTTTAAGGTAGCATTCCTCTCCAAGTGACTACACTTCCTCAATATCCTTTGAACCATTATAGCATAGGATGAGAAAGGAACTAAAGGGGGAATGGAACATTTTTGATCACAGGAGAAAAATGATCTGGAAATCATAACAACAGATGAAGATGCCAGAAAGAAGAGCTTGTAGGATGAGGTGGAAAACAAAATACTGGCCCCTGAAGGCTCTGTTAAAAGTGACTTTTTGTAAGAATTTTGTATATCATGCCTGTCATAAACATTCAGCTTCATTGTGCAATGAAGACAGATGACAAGAATTTGCTGCTCCAACAACCAAAAAAAAAAAAAAAAAAAAAAGCTCTGTGTCCTTGGAACCTGGTTTCTTCAGTTCCAAACATGCAGTGAAAACTTGTGCCTGTAAGAGCTGGGGGCAGTTGTTTATGTAACTACTTGAACATCTACATAAATATGAGCATGGGAGAAGCTTCCTCTATTCTCATCAGCTGTTCTAACGTGAAGAGGCATGCAGACTTGAGAGACGTGCACAGTTTAGCTGTCTTACATTGACTCTCTTATATAAGCTTCAAGGTCATGAAGTTTTCACCATTTTGTTTCCAAATAGTAGGAGGAAAAAACAAGTTTTACGAGTACCTTATCAGGGTGGGGAAAGGGCTGGGGAAGGTTTTAGGTTAGCAGAAAACTTTAGTAGATCAGACAAGGATGGGAGTTGTGAGGAAGAGATTAAAGGCAGAGGAACTGGTGGAGAAATATCCTGAGGAAAGAAGATTATAACAGTAGATGGGGAATTGACAATAGCCAGGAAGAGAGGCAGACCTTTCTTGGAGGCAGAAGATAAGTAAAAAGCCAAGGAGGAAACAGAGATGACTTTTGACATTGAGAAAAAAAAAAGCCAAGGGAACTCAGACATCTTATTGCAAATGAGGAGGTGATGTCTCCTTTTGCAGAAGAATGGGTGGAACTTGGGCTTTGGGATGGCTTGGCCTACCCCAAGTGGGGGAGGCAAGGTGGAGATTGGAAGAGATGAATGAAGGGATAATCACAAAGTGATAGGGAGTCACCTGGGATGATGTAGACTCATAGTGGGACATAAGAACCTGTGCTTGGAGGATGTATTTAAAATCTTGGAGATGGGGTAATCTTTTGTGGTCATTAAATCTAAGGCAGCACATTGTGAGTGCCAACAGAGGCCACTATAGTTGAGTAGATTGAGGACATGCAAAGCCAGGGTATTAAAGCCACCTACTGGTTTATGGAAGCCAATGAGAAGGCAAACAAGAGATACAGGAGAGAATTCAAAATTTTCACTGTTATATCTTAATAACCCTCAACTAACCTAACGATGCCTCATCTGCGTGATAAAAACTTTGGGCACAGACATGATATAACTTTCAGAACCTTCTAAGTAGCATTTGACTTAGCAGAGCAAGGTGTTTTAGTTTAAAATCCTATCCTAGCATTGGATCTGATACGTCATGGAAATGAGGGTAGATGAATATGAGGAGGTGGAAGAACCAAACCACTGTGTCCATTTCTATAGGCACCGATGTCAAGGCAAAGTAATTGTCTTTGCCTCTGGGTCTAGCAGAGTCCTGTGTACACCTTCTGTTTTGGTTTTTAATCTGGCCTGAGGAAGTAGAAGTCCCTTGGCTAGTAATTGGGTTATAACTATCTCTTTATAAATCATTCTCATAAAATCTTTGAGAACCCACGAGCAGGGTCTTTTTAATTTGTACCTCTCTACATCTCCCTTAGTTGCTGGCATGTATGTAGTGTTAAAAAATATATCCATAAAATGAATGAACAGATAAGTTGTGCTCTCTAAGAGTCCGTATTTCTCTAGAATACAATTTTTGTGGGGTTTTAAGCTTCTATGAACCTCCTCCATTCTTGTTCCACTCAGCATATTTTTTTGAAAGATACATAGATATCATCTAACTGTAAACACAAAGTGTTTGCACTGGCCCCTGTAGGCAAGGTCTACTTCTTCCCACCAAGCCTGCCCTGGGTCCTCTGCTCTTAATTTTGCTGGTACCTGGACTGATAATCACCCTGCTCAATTGATTGTGCCTCCTACAACAATAGTGGAAGCCATAAATAAGAGGTGAAGTGGAGGAGCCTCGATAAATATAAAGAAGGCTGCATAACTATGATGATGCCTGTAGTAAGTGACACAGTCTCAGCTTGAAATCACCACTCCTGCTAGATGGAGGTCACAGCTTTTTGCTGTCTTGGGACTACTGGTTACCAAGAATGTAACCAGTCCAGTCAACGCCCTTGTGTGAGTTAATAAAAGGTGTCCCTCTACAGAGGCAGAGGCAGCCTACACCAGAGTGCCTGGCATGGTGAAGCAAACGGGCTGGATGTCAGCCTCCACAGGACCATTTGGGTGGGTAGGCACCTTATGCAGTGAACAACCTGCATACCTGTATTCTTTGCCCCTGCTAGTTATGCACTCTTTTGGGCCTAGGTCTCCTGGGAGGTTTCCTACTCAGTCCTGAAGTAAGAATTACAGTCCCAGTCCCATTTGCATTCTAAAAATTGTATATAAGTTTCCCAGTCCAAATTGTACCTTGGTAACAACGAGGAGATATAGAGGAACAGAGCCCGGGGTGTGCAGGTTGTGCTGTGATTACATGTTTGCATCACTTTGAACATGCACTTTTCCCTTCATTTAACAAAACGAATAGAATAACTCTACATGAAAGGCTTTTTCTGCTACATAAAGGCAAACTCTAGTTGTCTCTTCACATTCATCTTTGGGGTTTAGTGCTAGCAAGTGTAAAATTTACATATATAAGATTTACTTACATGCTAGCTGTACTAGTCCAATGAAGCGATGGGGAGGGGGGAGGGGAGAAAGAAGGATGAATTTCCCTCATTTCCTCACCAAGTCTGGGTTTCCAGGACTCTTTTCAATGCAACTGTGCTAAATCAGGCAATGAGTCTTGGCGTTTCAGTGAGACAACCTGATTAAACCCTGGGCGGGTCCTGCTATCTCACCCCACCAGCTGGATCTCAGATTGACAGTGTTCAGACATGGCTTATGGGGGCTGTCAGAGTTGGAGGGGGTTGAGGTTCAGTGGAGGTTGTGACTCTGCCAAAATCTGAAACCATATTTTCTGGGCATGACCAGTTTCTAAACCAGAAAAAGTGGCTCTGTGGATCTGACCAAAGAAGCCTGTCAATTTTTTTTTAAGACAATAGCAGGTTAGGATGAGTGCAATGAGGGTTGGATTCAGTGAGTAGAGGCCCATCTTTAAATCCATGAGATTTACTTTCCATGAGACTGGCCCCCCTTTGCCACCTTTACTGTGGAAGTAATTTCTTAAAATGTTTCCAAGAAACTTGTGAGGCTGGATTTGCTTCTGTTGCAGGGCCCCATATGTGTTTTCCCTTGGGAAAGATAAAGTTTCCAATTAAAGGAAGAATTCCCTGGCTATTTCTTCACTATTACTCTTTCCGAGTGAGATGTAGCTTACAATTGCCCAATGTCAGCCAAGACTCAGCACCCATTCTTGACCAGTAACCACGATTCCCGCACCTCTACCCCATGGGGTGGTAAGACAAGATCTGGGTGAGTCCTGTTCATTGCTTGACTTGAACCAAAACTATAGGGCCCTCTGTGGACCAGGAGACCTCAGCTTTTAATGGGAAAGTCAGTAGGAGTTCAGTAAAGGGGTCTGGTGGGAAGCCCCGCTTGGCCTTCCCTACTTATAAAATCTGTAACACATGTTGACTAGATTCAGAAATATGTCATTGCCTCATAACTTTTTGAGGTTCCAACTTCTGGGGACCCCAGGAGAGGAACCATTGTTATGATAAGATCAGGATTTGGGACTAGCAGCTGAAGCCATTCAAGGCCTTTCCTCTCTGTGTTGTCTGCATTGCTTTCAGGCAGCCACAGAGATCTGGCTGCTCTCAGACTGACAGCCCAGGCAGCCTTGCCATGTAGAAATGAAGTAAACAACTAGATTTTGTTCCCCAGGAGAATACGTTGATGACCATGGCCACTGTCAGACCTGTGAGGCCTCATGTGCCAAGTGCCGGGGACCAACCCAGGAAGACTGCACTACCTGCCCCATGACAAGGTAAGTGGCTTCTCAGGATCTCCCGGTGGTGTGAGCTCATGGATTGCAGGGTGGAGAGAGGAGGTGCTCACCACCTTAGCGGCATCCCATGGGCCTGCAGTGAGAAAGAACCAAACTCCTTCCCACTCCACAGATATTCTCCTTGGTCTGGGCACAGCCCAGCTCTGTAGTATCCTCTCCCCATGACGCCCAGTCCCCATCACAAGGACCAGTTCCCTGGACATGGAACAGATTTCCTCACCAATGAATAGGGTGCCTTTGATGCCAGTTTTGATGCCTGAAATCTCATCCTTTTGTGCACACCCATTCCTCAATCATCATTTCCATCTGCTGGTCAAGTATCTACTTATTTCTAGAATCAGTTCAAAAGTGAACTGTTCTTTTTTTTTTTTTCCCCCCTGAGATAGAGTCTCGCTCTGTCACCCAAGTTGGAAAGCAGTGGCACTATCTCTGCTCACTGCAACTTCCAACTCCCGGGTTCAAGCAATTCTCCTGTCTCAGCCTCCCTAGTAGCTGGGATTAGGCACCTGCCACCACGCCTGGCTAATTTTTGTATTTTTAGTAGATACGGGTTTCACCATGTTGGCCAGGCTGGTCTTGACCTCCTGACCTCAGGTGATCCACCCGCCTTGGCCTCCCAGAGTGCTGGGATTACAAGGGGTGAACTGTTCTTAAAGGCATTTCTGACCTCTTCTCAGTAAGATTAATCTCTTCCCAGCAAAAATTAACCATTTTTATATCTCTTTGCTCTCTATAAGCTTCCATAAGAGCACCTGTAGCCTTTGAAGGTTTCCATTTACAAAGCTATTTCTTCATCAGACTGTAAGCCACTTGAGATACTCATCTTTGATCTCTAGTACCTACCACAGTTCTGGGATAATAGTAGACACTCAGTGATGTTTGCTAACTGAGTTAATGAGGTAGCAAGTATGTAAATGGAATAAGCATCTTTGCTAATACACTGGGAATTTCTAATAAAGAAAGTTGGAGGCCTGTTGTATTTTCATTCAATGCTCCTCTGAGCCTAGCACTGAATATTTGTTGGCTGCTGAGTGTTTCACTGAATGGCCTCATCACTGCCCTTCCCAATGCAAAGGAAGCAGGTCTCTTGCAGGCAAGGGTGATGAGGCTGCTCCAGTGGCAGGCACTTTGCATCTCTGGGATGGACATGCCCTCTGCTTTGCATAATGGTCATTTTGTCCTACTTCTGCAGGACTGTAATATTCTTGCAAGCAGGTGCTGTGATGTGTTTGTTCCTTTATTCCGCATAGTGATCAACACACAACAATTCAATAAATGTGTTTTATTGAGCTTGATGAAGTATGTAATCAATATCATAGGTTTGGCTCTCCAAATAGCTCCCTCAGAAAGAGGAAGGAAGAAAGGAAAGAATGAATAAGAGAAGGAAAAGAGGAAAGAAGGAAGGAGAAAGGACTGAAGAAGACACAAAGGAACAGTTTCAAGAATTTTTAATGCTAACCATGAGCATATTTTTCCAAGTGTCTCTTTAAAATAACTATGCCTCTAAATATTGAATTTGCCTTAAAGAAGCCTCAGGACTTACTCTAAGATACAGATAGCATTCTCAAAATGAGGTTCTGGTTTTTTCTCCAATTCCCCACCATACCAAGAATCAAATTCCAATGCATGTGTGCATGTCTTTTGAACCCGGAGAATATTTGAACATTTGTTTAATAAGGCAGCCACCACCTTTCCTTTACAATTTTATAAACCACTGGGTTTAGCTCCTTAAATAATTGTCCTTAATTTTAAAGACAATTAAAAACCTGGAGAAACCAAGCGCCCTCTTTGCCACTGTATTTAACATGCAAAGCTCTGTGATGCTGGGGTCCTCACTGCCCAAACTAATTTCCCTGCCCAGCCCTGAAGGAGTTACAGAGTCAGTGAACTAATTAAAAACATTTCAAAGTTATCTCCGCTCTGACCCGTGCTCAAACATTTTATTTGATCTATTTCTATGAATTCAGACAAAAAAAAATCTTCTTACTAGATTTCATTCTTTTAGAATATTAAAGCACCAAGAAATTACACTAAGTGCCATTGTAATGGCTTTAATTAGGCCAAGTCAACAATCAGCAAAGAGGACAAGCTAACCCTGACATGCCATCTCTTTCATTACAGTTCATGTCACACACACATCCTGGGGCCTTCTGGAATACTCAGCGCCAAGGTTAAGATCATCCCTGCCCAGCTGTTGAGCACTTGGTTCCACTGCATTCTCCCTTTCTTTCAGGCCTGTTCAGTCTGGAATGGTTCACTTCCTATGAAAAAGTCAAGAGCTGGCATGAGCTGGGGAGAGAAGCTCTTCCCCTGCAGAGATGAGTTTGCCTGGGCATCTCAGGAATCCATGAATTGGATGCCTGGTGGTCCCAGAGATGCCTTGAGTTGGCTTTAAGGAAAATTTTCATCAGCCCCATTTTCTACTTTTATAGAGCAAAATATCTATTGTCTTCTACTACGGAAAATTTGTTGGTGTCTGTTGAAAACTGTGGCCATTTGTAATGGGATAGTTCTTCAAGTTTCTTAGCAATATTTTGGGGGCAGTTTGGAGAATGTGGGGTGGGTTGTGGTGACATAATTCAGTGCCTTCACTTAAGCATAACTGTCTTCCCTATCTTTCTATCTTTAGAAATAATCATCCCCTTACAAAAACTAGAGATGTCGCCTATGCTTTTGTTAGGGTGGACATGGAGGGAATGGTTTTAAGCATGATTATGTGATTGATATGTTCCTAAAATCAAGTCAAAAAGACAGCCCCTTCCCTGTGTAAACATGGAAGGGTTCTATTTCTGCTGCTTCTCCTATTTCTGAGTGGTTTTTAGTGGTTCCCATTAATCAGAGATCACTTCTCCCAAAACAAATGATTTCCTCCCAAGCCAATCTGTCATCTCATCTTATGAAACATGGGTCCCCAAACTCCAGGCCATGAACTGGTATTGGTTCATGGCCTATTAGGAGCTGGGGTGCACAGCAGCAGGTGAGCAGCAGGTGAGCAAGCGAAGCCTTGTCTGTATTTATAGCCACTCCCCATTGCTCACATTACCGCCTGAGCTCAACCTCCTGTCACATCAGCAGCAGCATTAGATTCTCACAGGAGTGTGAACCATATTGTTCACTCATTATGAGAATCTAATGCCTGATGATCTGTCACTGCCTCCCATCATTCCCTAGATGAGACCATCTAGTTGCAGGAAAACAAGCTCAGGGCTCCCACTGATTCTACATTATGGTGAGTTGCATAATTATTTCATTATATATCACAATGTAATAATAATAGAAATGAAGGGCACAATAAATATAATGCACTTGAATCATCCCAAAACCATCCTCTACATCCCCATTTGTAGAAAAATTTCCTTCCATGAAACTGGTCTGTACTAGATTGTTCTCATGCTGCTATGAAGAAATACCTGAGACTGGGTAATTTATAAAGAAAAGAGGTTTAATTGGCTCATAGTTCTGCATGGCTGGGAAGGTCTCAGAAATCTTACAATCATGACAGAAGGTGAAGGGGAAGAAAGGCTCCTTCTTCACAGGGTGGCAGGAAGGAGAAGTGCTGAGCAAAGGGGAAAAATCCCCTTATAAAACCATGAGATCTCGTGAGAACTCACTCACTATCACGAGAACAGCATGAGGATAACCACCCCCATGATTCAGTTACATCCCACTGGGTCCCTCCCATGACTTGAGATTATGAGAACTACAATTCAAGATGAGATTTTGGGTGGGGACACAGCCAAACCAAATCACAATCCCTACTGCCAAAAAGGCTGGGGACCACTGCTATAAGAGATAAAATGATGATGTACTTCATATCCCTTTCTCAATTGATTTTAGCAAGAAAATAAACCCCCAGAATAAACCTGCCCCATTCTCCTTTTCAGCAGAACATCGAATAGCTTTCTAGCTTAAAATCCTCAGAAAGCTCTTCCACAGTTTTCCTTACAGAAAGATTATAGTTTTCTTTGTTTGTTCATATTAAATTAGCCACATCCAGACTATTCCTTGAAAAGTCTTCTAGCTCAGTAACTGGTGCCAGGCTGGGGCTGGGATATTCCCCCTTTGGCATTAGCTCCATCCACTAAAAATCTGGGCTGGGAGCACAGGCATCTCATTCTACGCCATGGTGCAGGGGATCTGTTTTGACATGGACAGCCAGATGCGTGTGAGTGTCTGTTTAGGACTGGGACTCACGCTTTGCAGAGAGCCAGAAGGATTGTTCATTCAGTGGTGCTGGGGATGGTTAACAGAACATGAGGGCCTGGGAATCCAAGACAGAGGTGGACTTATGTCTCAGGTTGTTGCCTTGAATCCCATTCTGCCTCCAAACAGATGCAAATGACACAGACTTTCAGTGTGTGGGAATGAATGAGATAGAAGACTGCAGTGACATACTATTCAGGATGCCTTGCCCCACCCAACTTTCCTCTAAACCTGGGATTGAAATGGCCCACCCCTCAGTTCAGGGTTGGTTCTAGCTCTGGAAACAGTGAACTTTAAACAAGCCAGTGCCAATACAGGAACAAGTTGCTTGAGGCCTACAGCTGACCTTTCATGTGGTGTGCAGCTTAAGTGGAGAGGAGTAGTAGAGAGAAAAAGACAACTTTCCCTGTCTTCGCAGGCCCACTCAGATGTCCCAGGCCTGGGTGGCAGCATTATGCTCACGGGAGCACGTGTATGCTGTGTACTCAGTGAACTCACAATTGATACAATAACTGTTATTCTAAGGGAGTGTAAGAGATGCCAATTTGATGTCACCTGTATTACACAGGAATCATTTAGTGAATTCCACAGTAATCCAGACTGTCACTGAGCAGCAGATCTCGAAGACTGCTCAGCAGACCAGCAGCACTGGCACCATCTGGAATGTCAGAAATGCAAATTCTCAGCTGCCTCCCTTTAAGACCCACTAAATTAGGAACTCTGGGTGTGCAGCCCCCAGCTCATTTCATCTATTCATATTACCTATCTGACTCTTGCATTTGATAAACATTTTGTATTTTTCTGAACAGAACACTTGGATACAATTTACTTAATCACATTTGCTCTTATGATTAGTTTGCAAAGAATAATGAAGCAAAACTATAAGAATATTAACAATGACATTAGGATATATATTGTATATGTGTAAAACCAAAGTTTTAGAAGCCCATATACTAACTCATCAGTAATGCCCTTTGTAGGTGTTCACAGAAAGTGTTCATGGTCAGAAAATAGAGACTCCAGTACTCCATATCTCAGGAAATGCTTGCAAAACAAGACACTCAAAATCAGACTTCATTGATTACTTGCCACATACTCAGGCCGGGCTTCTAAGTAGCACCCGAGCTACAAAGCAGTGTTTTGTTCTACTCGTCAAGAGCCCTTGGAGCTGACATTTCCCTTGCAAAGCATGAGCATGCTGATAGATAAAGGAAGAACATTTTCTCCAAGGCCTCTCTCAGAGGCCCACTGAGTGTATGGAAAGTTTAGAAACCTCCATCTGACTGTTGGCTGGGTTTGGTTGGGGCCTATAATATGGATTTAATCCCTGTGGGCACCAGTTAGCTTGTTTGGAACCAGATTCGGGATTGTTTTCCCAGCCAGTTTCTGGCATGCTGGCTGTTAGGTCCAAATCTTGGGCCAAGGATGGGTACATGACTAATATTTTACATGTTCTAAGATGATCACTCCCAGTCATCCCCCTTATTTCTGGAACAATGAAGTCAAATCTGTACAGCAAACATGAAAACCACATGTTCTGATACTTAGGGCCACTCTGGAAAGCCACCCTGGTGAATTCTAAAAGTCTTCTTTTCCTCTAGGATTCTTGATGATGGCCGCTGTGTTTCCAACTGTCCCTCACGGAAATTTGAATTTGAGAACCAATGCCATCCATGCCACCACACCTGCCAGAGATGCCAAGGAAGCGGCCCTACCCACTGCACCTCCTGTGAAGCAGGTGAGAGGACAGCTGCTCCTCCGTCTTCCTGACCCCAAACCTGTTCCTCTCCTGATGGCCGTCATTTGGTTTGACCCAAAAGCCTTGTGTCTGAGGGGTTGAGGGTTAAGATCAGACAGCTGTTCACTGGAGCGCCTGGACAACCTTGAACTTTCTGCTTGTTGTCAGGACACAAAAAGCTTGTTCACCTTATTTGGGTGTAGACTTGGTGCCCTTGAAAAGATGAGAAAGCAGCTAAGAGATGCCTTTCCAGAGAAAGGCAGACAAGCATGAGGTCAGACATGAGATAAGACAGTGAAGCTAAGATTTGTGGAAGTACAAGTGAAAAGCTAGGGAATTAAGACAGACACGTTCTGTCTTTAAGGAAAGTATTGTATTAGGGGCTGTGTGTGTCTTCTTGGAGCTGAGGTATGCCACTTAGAAGTTGCCAGAGCTCAGCAGAGCAAGGTCATCATTTCAAATGATTACAAATGTGACCTTTGAGTCCCAGATTTACCTGCACTAAAAGTTTCCTGCTGCCATTGGATTCTATTTCATGCTCTCAAGGGTTCTCTGCGTTCTGACCCTTAACTCCTTTCCAGCCTCAACTCATATGCCTGTCCCCTACTGACCTCATGTGGGCCAGATTCGAATTTTTTTTTTCTATATACTACTTTTTAAATTTGAGCCAAATTTAAAAACTGGGACATTGCAGATAAAAACTTGAGGGTTTAATGTCTATTGAAAATTCAAAAGATCCACCAACACTGGACCTGCATTTCCCAAATCATTACCTGGAGTCCAAAAGAGGCTGCTCTCCATCTCTCCCCAGTCCCCACCATTCCCAGTTGTCTCACTGATCCTGAGGCTGTCAGTTACCAGCATCATCATCCTTAGATCGTTTTTCTGGTGGAAAAGAATTATTGATCTTTAGTCTTTCTTGCAGTAAACCAAGAAAAATGAAGAACACATTAGGAGTACCAGGCATTTGCAGGAGATCAGGAGATAACACATTTCTGTGTATAAATTAAAATTATTGCTTTGTGTTTCATGTGTCAAAATAAGACAAATATCTGTCATATTTTACCTCTAGACTGCCTTATTCTGTTTCCTTCCTCATCTACAAGATGATGATAATACTTACTTCTTTAAGAGTTTTTATGAAAATTAAATGACATGAAATGAGATACAACAATAAAGCATTTAGAACAGGGCTAACCACATGGTGAGCACTTAGAATATTAACTATTATTATTTTTATTATCATTACTGTTATTGTTTGTAGCTGCTTACTCTTTTGGGCATTTGAGTTTCTCTTGCTCTTAAGACTTCATTTGAGATGTTTCCGCTTGTTGTCTGGCTGATGTCTTCCTATTCCATGTTAGTTTCACATCGTTTCCTCAGTAAGGGCTGCCCTAACCTCCTTGCCTGGATTAGGCCTTCACAGGAGCAACCTGGGAATGCTGCACTTCCCCCTTCACGAGCCTCAACACATTTGATGTCTATTTGGTCCATACGTTTGTATGCCCCATAAGAGCATGGCATGGTTTCTCCGTTATTTCTGCTGTATTTTGAGCACCAGCACAGTGTCTGGTATATGAAAGGTTCACAATAAATAACTGAATGAACAAATGAATGAATGGTTCAATGGAAGGAATGTTAAGACCAGCAGTCAGAAAATGTGAGTTTAAGTCCTGGCTTTGTTACTGACGAGAAGGTACTAAACCAGTCACTTTACCTCTTTATGCCTCTTCTTACTTGTAACAAAAAAAAAAGAAGAAGAAGAAGAAGAGAAAGGACAAGATGGCATCCAAAATCACTTTCACATCTCCGTATATAGCACAAAATTAGAAAGAAGTTTAGATACCAAACAAATGTCTAGTCTTCTAAGCATCCTACAGTTACTTGGACCAACCTACCTACAAATGAGCTGACATTTCTTCTGTTTTTTTTGGTTTTTTTTATTTTTTTCTGTTTGAAATTGTGCTTAATCCATTATCTTAAACATTTATTGCATCCCTTCTATTTACAAGTTACTGTGTATGGAATGCCAGAGAAAATGAGATAAATGATAGCAGATACTCACCTTCAAGGAGTTACAGTGTAACAAGGAGATTTGTCCTCATATATTACAAAACAAGAAAATAGTAGATGAAGACCAAATGCATGGTAGAAATCCTACGCCAGATCAGAGAAGCAGCATCACTTCCAGCTGTGATGAGCAGAGAAGGCTTCCTCAAGGTAGGGCTTGTTGTTTAGCAAGCCCTGAGGTAGTTCTGCCTACTTAAGAGTGTGAGGTCCTTAAGAAGCATTAGTGAAGCAAATGTAGCAGAGACCTTGATGGGACAGTGCTGAAGAAGAAGGATGATTTAATTGAAGAAGTTCCATATCCATAAATGGAAGCTTTAATAAAAGGCTAAAAATCATCCAGCCAGGGGGTCCCATCAATCTTCATAAGCCCCTCCCACCAATTTGTAGAGATTGTATCCCTTGTTTAATTGTGTCTTCACTAAGGTTTAGGTATGATGCCTTTTGGAAGTGTACATCTCCAGCTATATTGCTGAGGATTCACTCCAATTCTCTTCCAGATTTATTCACTACCAAAGTGGACCCAAAGCTGAGTTCCATCAATCACACAACAGCTACAGTAAGCAAAATGTGGTAGTCAACTTCATCAAGTTTATTTTCAGAATCCCTGCACCTTTCTTTTATCCTTTCCAGCAGTCCTTTTCACCTCATGCCTTCAACCCTCACCCTTCCTTTTCTCCTACGGACATCCAATATCTTCATGCTGGTCTACCTTCTCACCTAACAGAATCAGCTGCCAAGAAATGCTCTGGTAAAAGTGAATCACTCTCCAGAATAAACAAAAGCCAATCCAAACTCTTGTCCCCTATTATCCCATTTGAACTCTTGTCCCAGGAAAATTTTCGGTGCCTAGCAAAAGTATCAGCCCTTCTACCACTGGAAATAGCTTCGTCTACATACTATTGTAATAATTTAAACTTGAAGACCCTGGGCGAGTAGTCAAAAATTTATGCATGGTATTTAAATTATCATCCATAACTAATTGAGCAGGGCTACTCAAAATCTGACCAAATCTTGACATAGTCCTGGACCAAACCTGTGGGAAAAGCTGGTCATGACCAAGGCATCTAAGTGACCTCCCTTTGCAGGTCTATGTATTTTAAACACTGAGACCCCCTCAAATCTCTGTTCTTTAAACCCAAATTATAACACCTGAAGAGGCCTCTCAATAAAGCCATGTCTAAACAATAAAAACGGGATTGAAGAACACTTCCTTCTAAATCTGGGCCCATTGTTGCTAATTTTCAAGACTGATGATCCAGTTGGATATGGGGGAAAAATTGAATATTGCCAAATATGAATTAACTCCATTCAGTCATTCCACAAATACATAGTTAGAGCCTTAGAGTCCCCCTAAGCATCTGGGTCCTGAGTTGATGTCATGTGAAGGCGTAGGGGATGCAAAAGAGGTAGATTTCCTCACTGCTTTCCCTCAAATCTTCCTACCTACCCCAGAGAAATTGGGGAACTCTGAAAAAAAGATTTTTTTTCTGAATGAGTCATGGTGGATGGAAATGGCATTGGCTATGGTTTCATAAAGTGACTGAGAACATAACTTGGAAGGATGACCTTCTTGTGGTCTCTAGAGATTTCAGGTTCCACCAGATCAGAGTTTTGTGCTCCACAATGTTGATCGATAGCTATAGAATCACCAAATGCACATCAGTCCTTCCAAACCCTCTTCTTTCCTTAGAGGATAATCTCTTCTATGTCTAATTTAGAAACAGCAGAATATTTTCTTCCACCACCTCTGTGGAAGCCGTTTTTATTTTCTTGGTCCTATGGGAACCAAAATCATAATCAGCAAAAAAGGTAGCCTGAGAGCCCATAATCCAAAAGCATGTTTTAAAAATTGCATTTCAGGCCAGGCATGGTGGCTCACAACCAGAACTTTGGGAGGCCAAGCCAGGCAGATCACTTGAGTGCAAGAGTTCAAGACCTGCCTGGGCAACATGATGAAACCCTATCTCTACAAAACATACAAAAAAAAAAAAAAACAGTTGTGCATGGTGGCATGCAACTGTAGTTCTAGCTACTTGAAAGACTGAGGTGGGAGGATCACTTGGGCCCAGGAGGAAGAGGTTGCAGTAAGCTGAGATCATACCACTGCACTCCAGCCTGGGCAACAGAGTGAGACCCTGTCTCAAAAAAAAAAAAAAAAAGCATATTTCAACTATGGCTTTGCATAAATAAGAAATATTATGATAAATGATGTGAAAGTGCCATGGTCACAGGTAAAAAATAGTCAAATGTTGGCAATTTCATGTGAGTCAATTTAACATTAGACTGACTTTCCGTTTCCACACTTGCAACATGGGTTTAGTGCTATCTTTATCCACAAATTCAGCAGCCTTGCATCTTCAAGGTCAATGATTTTGGATATCCATGAGGTAGATCACATGATGAATGAACCCTAGATCCTGGTTATTCTGAGTAACACAGTTCGGCTGCTCTTCAGAGGCAGGGACATATGGGAAATCTGATTCAGGGAAGATGGATACCCCGAGCACACTCAGCACAAAAACTCCAAGAGCATGGGAGTAGGAAACCTCTAGATGCATCAGTATTCACCTTATTGTTGTTTTAGTACTTGTAACTGATTAGAATCCTTTGTAACTAATTGTGATGCTTTGTAACTGGTTAGACTTTTCCATTCCCACCAGGAACAAATTCCCATGGTCTGTTAGGCTGTGGGCACTGCCAGTTCTTTCCTTATAGAGTCCAATGTTGACAGAAGTCAGGAACCTTCAGGAATGCACGTAAAAGAGTCAAAGAAGTGTGTTTGATCTAGTGCTTCAATAAGCCCGTCATTATGGGCATTGGCAGCTCTGCGGAAATTCAGACCTTAGATGGTTAATGCAAGCATGTGATCGATACCAATTCAAAATCATTTTAAAAGATTGCACTTACATAAAACGTGTCGATCATTAAGCATGTGTTTATTCTCATGGCATCTCTATAGCCCCCTGAAGTCTGAGAGATTTCACAGATACCAAAGGAGCCCTTGGGAAAGTTAAACACATTTTGAATTGTAGTTATTCACAGAGCATGGTTTTGCAATGATATCCCAGATAGTAGTCGCTATTCACTGAAATATATAAAATATTGGAAAATAATTCCCTGCAAGGAAAACTTTTCAACTACAAGGATATAGTTATTGCACTTTTCATTAAATCCATCTTTATACCCCTCAGTCCCTAGGAACAAAAGCACTCAGTTGCATCTTTTTTAAATATAATATCTTACATTCTAATAGCTTCATGGCTAACTCGGTACATTATCCCTCTTCTCGTTGCCCCTGTAACTGATCAGACAACTATGGCCGAGAGTACTTCCTATACCAGGGAGAGTGTCGAGAGAGCTGCCCAGAGGGCCACTATGCCACTGAAGGGAATACCTGCCTGCCCTGCCCAGACAACTGTGAGCTTTGCCACAACATGCACATCTGCACAAGATGCACAAGGGGCTACTTCATAGCGCCCACCAACCACACGTGCCAGAAGTTGGAGTGTGGACAAGGTAAGCCTGCTCCTGGGCCCTTGCCCAGCACCAGAACACGGGAGGAGGGTCTGCGCCCTGGATGTCCTGGAGACTTGAATTGCCTTCCTGGCTTGCGTGTCGGCACTTGGGATGATTTTGGGTGACTCCATACCCAAGTGGGGAGAGAGGTTACTTGCTCTCTCTCTATTCACACACCCTTTCTCTGGGTTTCCCCAGACATAATCCAAGATCGTAGGAATGCACCTAAGTGTATAGAAAATTGGCCAGGTGCAGTGGCTCGTGCTTTAATCCCAGCACTTTGGGAGGCCAAGGCAGGTGGATCACTTGAGGCCAGGAGTTCGAGACCAGCCTGGGGAACATGGTGAAACTCTGTCTCTACTAAACATACAAAAATTAGCCAGGCGTGGTGTTGCATGCCTATAATCCCAGCTTCACAGGAGGTTGAGGCAGGAGAATGGCTTGAACCCAGAAGGCAGAGCTTGCAGTGATCCGAGATCGTGCCATTGCACTCCAACCTGGGAGACAGAGCAAGACTCCATCTCAAAAACAAAGAAAAAAGAAAAGAAAATGATCTTGGCAGGTGGGGGGATTGTGGACAGGATATAGGGGAGAGAAAATAAGATTAGAATCCAAAAGTCTGGGTCAATAGTTTGCTCCTTCCCAATTACTAGACACGAGACCCTGGGCAAAACTCACCTAACTTGCCCATGCCTTGTTGTCTTCATCTGTCAAAGGAAGAGCAGAGCATCAAGACAGAGTGGCTCTGAGAAGCCAGTGAGGATAAGCCTAAAACTACTTGAAAATATTAAAATGGTCTGTGAATCGTATGTGTTATTGTTATTGCCCAATTTCTTATCTTTTATGGGAAGAAGGAAATTAAAAAACAACACTTATAGTTTCGGTTCTCTTCTATGTAAGAATGCCACGGACTGTTATTGCTCTGCTCTGTATGAGAATTATGCCTGGTCTGGTGCTGAAGAGAGCTCCAAGACATTTTTAGAATAATTGAGACACTCAATTCTGTCTCTCCTTAATGTTTATGAGTGTAGTAAAAGATTTTAAACTTTTTAAAAAGTGTTTAGTAGGACAGATAAAAAGAGGAAGGGAACCTGTTCATTTACATACCCAATTCCATTTTCCCAGAAACAAAACTGGTTTCTTTAATAAATAAAATCACCAAGCTTGACTTCAAAACTAGCTGCATGGCATATGGTCTAACCTGGTTCTCTTTGTACCCAATCAAGCTGATTTAATCTATTCAATTAATAGAAGGAGATTAAAAAGTAGAAACCACATATATCCTCAAGGATGGTTTTGGGCTTCATAATTGCTCTATGATTTACTTTAAAAGAAGCTACACAAGAACATACTTTTATAGCAATTCACGTGTCTCCACTCAATGGAAATGAGTTGTGTTTTTCACTTCTCTTTCTGTGTAGGTGAAGTTCAAGACCCAGACTATGAAGAATGTGTCCCTTGTGAAGAAGGATGTCTGGGATGCAGCTTGGGTATGTCCTCTTCCTTGGTCACCTAAAGAGTTGAAATAGCTGAGTCCTTTTCCACACATCTCCATCTTGTCATTGCCCCAGCAGGCATTCTTGTTATTGCTGTCAGCATCAGTGTCACCATCAATGTCTTAAGTAGGCTCTCTTCAATACAAACAGGATCACTGTGAGGAAATACTTGCTTTTGAAGCAATGAATGGGTTTCTTGTCTTTATGAAACTCAAGTTTAGAAAAGGAGACCATGGCACCTTTTCCTCTGGTTGTCAATAAATTGGTGGGGCTTACTGACCAGCAACCGCATTTCAGGTGCCTGAGACTCAGCTTCTCCTTAGCTTCTCAAGGTGACACATTTGGAAGATTAACAGTGAATAAACTCAAGCAAAGAAATGCCTAATTCCTCTAACTCACTTGGTATGTAAAACACAAAAGTTTGTGGGTAGAGGGATGGGGGTTTTCCTTTATAAAAATGACTCTGTTGGGCCAGGCATGGTGGCTCATGCCTATAATCCCAGCACTTTGGGAGGCCAAGGTGGGTGGATCACCTGAGGTCAGGAGTTCGAGACCAGCCTGTCCAACATGGTGAAACCCCATCTCTACTAAAAATACAAAAATTAGCTGGGTGTGGTGGCAGGTGCCTGTAATCCCAGCTATTCGGGAGGCTGAGTCAGTAGAATCGCTTGAACCTGCATGGCGAAGGTTGCAGTGAGCTGAGATCATGCCATTGCACTCCAGCCTGGGCAACAGCACCAGACTCCATCTCAAAACAGTAAAAATAAAAATACAAATGACTCTGTTGCTTGGAGCCTAAGACAACCCTTAGAGAATAAAGCATCGTGGTGACAGCAGAGTTGAATTCCCCATCATACAATGCAAAGCACTTGTCTCTCTCATGTATAACTCTTAAATTCAAGTCAGTGGCTCCTTCTTTCTCCCCTTCTCACATGCCTGCAGGAGGCGATGGAGACAGTTCATAACACATGGCACCACTGCGTTGGCTATAAGATGAAAAATAGGGAGGTTACCGAATTCCAGGATTGTTTCTTAATGTACGTTTAGGTAACATAGAGAAAATAATTAGCATGTGTGATCTTTGAAAGGAAACTCATCTGAAAAGTTCATGGAATAATTTCTCTTCATGGAGCCCTAGGATTGGTTGACTAATGCTTCTAAAACTTCAGTGTGGCACAAATCACCTGGGGAGTTTGTTGAAATGTAGATTCTGATTCACTGGTCTAAAGTGGGCCTGAGAATTTGTGTTTCTGACAAGCCGCCCAGTGAGGCCAATGCTGTTCTATAGAATACTCATGAAGTTGCTAGCGGTAAGATTGTGCCAGAATAAAGTAGACTTTTTGTTTGCCTTACCCAATGGATTTTCTTAATTTTTTCTCACTAATATATAATAGTTTTACATATTTATGGGATACATGTGATACTTTGATATTTGCATAGGATGTGTGATGATCAAGTCAGGATAACTGTTATATCCATCACCTCACACATTTATCCTTTCTTTGTGCTGTGAATATTCTAAATCTTCTCTTTGTGCTAATTTGAAATTAATACTTAAATATTATACATGAATTATATAATTTATATTGTAGCTATCACCACCACTCTTTGCCTTAAATGGAAAAGATACATTTTCTATAATATCTGTAACTAGAAAATACAGTTTCTGGAAGCTTAAATATCATTCTCCCATTATCTTCCACTATAATATGATGCTTATATCACTGGATAATAAAATGTCATAAAAAGTTAACAAACACTTAAGAAGAAGGTAAAATTTAGAGTCAGATATTTAAGGGTAAAATGCTAATTACCTGGGAAGCAAAAAATAAACCTAGGCATAAATAAGAGTACTCAAGTAAAAAACTATAAGCAAATTCTAGTGTCTGTCTCATGTGAAGTGATAGAAGGTGAGTTTGCCCAGAGCAATGATGAATGTTTTGACTATCTTGATTTCACTGTTTGCCCATTTCAGATGTATTTTCCCATTAAATTTCACACCCCAGCTAATTTCTGTGGTCCTCTCTGGCATCTTTGCCGTTGTGTGTTGTGTGCCCATATTAGCATCTTTGTGCATCTTGGAGAGGGGTTGTGTATAATCTAAAACCTGAGGTTTGGTCTCTCTTGGCTCTACTCAGTGATGACAGTGGGGCAAGTCTACCCAGCAAGATACATGTAGAGAAAAGAAGATGTTCCTTCCATTGCTTCAAGACACCTTGAGAGGAATGTATGAATGTGTGTGAACTCCTTCAGGATCAGTGAGGATCTTAGCATGGAGGTGGGAACAGTGACAAGAAAACCACGGTCACTAGGGGTCTGTATTGGCCTCATCCTCCATTTAGTTGACCCAGCTAAACATGACACCATGGGGAAGCCACTGGAAATGGACTCCGCGGCAGATACTGACCCTCTGGGGTCTCAAAATCCGAAAGACTCAACTTGCAAAAAGAGATACATTAGAAAGTTTGATTTACTTTACAAAGTGCTATTAAGCTCTTCAGTCCATTCATTACTTAAGAAACTTTGTCTACCGTGTGCTGAGTGCTCGCCTTGGTGGTGAGAATTTCGCAGGTGATATGGCTGTGATCCTGCTATAAGGGATAGCAGGATCTGTCCCAAGTGACACACCTGGAGTGAAATCTCTTAGAAGACAAGCTGCCAGAGTAGAGACAGGTATAAAGTGCAGTGACACCACCAGAAAGGGTGGCAAGAGCATTCTAAATACCTCTAATTTCTCATTTTAAATTCTAAAATGTCCCTTAATTTATAATATCTCTATGTATTTATTGGGCCTGGTTTATTCTTGGATTGACTTGGCTGAACTCAATTGTCACCTTGTTTCTGAACCCTTTTTTGATCTCTCCAATAGAGTAAATTCTCCCTTTTCTAGTTTCCCTTTATTTGTTAGGCCAGTGACACTATGTTTTAGAGGTGACTAGTGTAATATTTGCTATGTATACACCTTTCTGCCTGGACACTAAACTACCTGAGAATAAGCTCTTTGACTTATATACTCTGAACTAGCAGAGTGCACAGGACATAATAAATGCGCAACAATGCACGAATGTTTGTTGAATTGAATTTGAGAATTGCCCAAATTCAAAGCAGAGATGAATGACTTAGGATACCCAGGGTCTTAGATTTGCTGTTTTCCCTATTTTTATTTTTATTTTTATTTTTATTTTTATTTTTTGAGACGAAGTCTCGCTCTGTCCCCAGGCTGGAGTGCAATGGCATGATCTCAGCTCACTGCAAGCTCTGCCTCCTGGGTTCAAGTGATTCTCCTGCCTCAGCCACCAGAATAGCTGGGATTGCAGGCGCCTGCCACCATGCCTGACTAATTTTTTGTATTTTTAGTAGAGACGGGCTTTCACCATGTTGGCCAGACTGGTCTCGAACTCCTGACCTCGTGATCCGCCCGCCTTGGCCTCCCAAATTGCTGGGATTACAGGTGTGAGCCACGGCGTCCAACCTTAATCTTTTTTTTGTTTAAATTTTTTTTAAGAGATGGGGGTTGCACTATATTGACCAGGCTGGTCTTGAACTCCTGGCCTCAAGCAATTCTCCCATCTCGGCCTCACAAAGTGCTAGGATTACATGCGTGATCTACTGCACGCAGCCTTTAGCTGTATCTTTTTAGTTTTGATTTGAACCAGATAAATATTTTACATATTCATAACAAATGACAGAATGAGTAGTGTGAATGGACTCCCGTTAGCCAAATGTAGGACAATTAGAGCATTTTTTTAAAATGGATGATAAAGAATTCCAACTCAATATTTTAAATCCATGCATCAATAGTGAGAAAAAGGAAAAGAGAGGGGAGTAGAATAAAAGGGAAAGCTCTTCTTTACAGAAAAATTTCAGCTGTCATGTATTTCAGGAAAGAATTAGGAAATCATTATTTTGCATCCCCTAGTATATGGACCCAAGGGAGAATCATCAAATTGGAAGTAGATTTAAACACACTGGGTGGAAAATTGCTATGGAACAAGATCATCACACAGACTCAAAGTACTGCCACAATTAATAGTTAATTACAATGAAGAGATTTGCTGGTTACCAACTTAAATAAGTTATCAGGTTTATGGAACTGATAATACTGATTATCATACGTCTCCTGATGTGATACTTAAGTAATAATATCACCTCATATTCTTTTTGTTTTGCTGTTTTGTTTTGAGACAGGGTCCCCCTGTCATCCAGGTTTGAGTGCAGTGGCTTGATCATGGCTCCTGAGCTCAAGTGATCCTCCCACCTCAGACTGCCAAGTTCCTTGGAGTACAGGCATGCACTATTAGCCTGGACTAATTTATTTTTTATAGAGATAGGGTCTAGCTATGTTCCCCAAGCTAGTCTCAAGCAATCCTCCCACCTTGGCCTCACAAAGTACTGGGATTACAGGTGTGAGCCACCATAGCCAGCCCTCACCTCGTATTCTTGACAAAAGTGTCTAGATCACTAGTGGAGGCAATTATGCCTCCGTGAAACATTTGTCAATGCTTCAGACAGTTTTGATTGTCATGACTGGAAGGTTGTTACTTGCATCTGCTGGATAGAGGTTGAGGATGCTACTAAATATCCTACGATGCACAGGACTGCTCCCCGACAACAAAGAATTACCTAGTCCAAAATGTCAATAATGTTGAGGTCAAGAAAAACCTTATTTAGCCTCAAGATAATCACAAGATAAATCAAGAATGTGAGGTATCTATAAGACAATTGACCTGTGCTTGGAAAGAAAATTCAGTATTTTGGGGGGAAAATGAAAATTAGGGAATTAAAAAAGAATGATGAGAAAAAACAATCGAGAAGATGCGTAAGTATTTTTATTTTTATTTTGAGACAGTGCTTTATGTCTGAAGTGCTCTGTCAGCAGAGAGGACTTAGAAACAACAATACCCCAGCAGCAGTAAACACAGGTGCCTTGATCGTGGTTTCTAATACCATTCTCCAATAAAATATAACAAGGCTCCTTAGAGAATTGGCTGATT